CAGTCCTCAAAGGGATAGTGAGTGTAAATGAGTTCTCGGGGATCCACCTTGTAGTAAAACATATCTGTCTCATACTGCAGCGTCGCAGCCGCCTTCGCAGTGGCGCTGTTGGGGGTGGTCGGCGTGGTGCTGGTGGCATTTTGACCGCGAACGGCCAAACGCTGAGCTGCCCAAGTGCAGTCAAAGAGGTACCATTTACCATCTAGGCAGGCCGCGTTCCAAGAATGCTGCAGAGAAGCAATCAGAGGGGGAAGAGCTCCAGTCTCGGGATGGAAGAGAGGTTCGTTTGGCTGCAACAACGGTTGGCCGACTTTGTAGTCCACGCTCTTGGCAATGCCGCGTACTGTCACACAGGGAATACCCGAGTATCGGCACATCGATTCAAAGGCCTGTTTAAACAAAGGCAGAAATATAAAAACATAGATTATTCCGACTCGGTAACAAATGATACTGTGTAGAAGTAAATAACATCGATACAGTTTACAGTATTTTAGAAATCCCTAAAGTTCCCAAAGATGCCGCCTGCAACCATACTGCTTGGTGGGTTTCTGAACAAGGCATTCTTAGTCTAGGAGCCATGACCGAGTATGATCGACTTTGGTTGAAATGGAGATTTTCGGAAGTCATCTGTATTCGGGCCATTTTCAAGCAATATTGTGTATGCCAATTAATGGATCAGCTCCGCCAAAACAGTTCCCACTTTGAAAACAACACAATTTCTTTGAACATCCCGGTCTCCGCGCAAAGTTGTTCATGATATGAGCCTGAGTCCACCTTTCCGTAATGAAAGTAGTACATTCTCCCTTATAAAAGACCTAATAAATGTTGTGATGCACTTTACTGCGGCCAAACTAAAAAATGGACCCCAACCCCCGTACACCAACATCAGTCAGCGGTCAGAAGACGAGACCATTTATCCCAGGTGACCATACACATACTGGAAACCAGCCACAAACTCACATGGGAAAATACATGGATTGTTGGCACTTGTCCATCTGGAGAAGGCCGTGAATTCCTGGAAGAAATGCACTCAGACGAGAAATGCATCAACAGGCATATTGATTTGGACGCCAGCAATAATTACGCCAAGGCTAAATTCAACGCCCGAAATTAACCGCGACGGAATGACGAAATGCTCGTAACGCCTACTGGCGCAGACTGACTTATTCCTGCCAAGCAGTGCCCACGTCAGATGATTATTGATTTTTCTGGACTTTTGAAATTTGAATTTGTTGTTGCACATTTTCAGTTCATAAGACAAGCAAGGCAACCTTTCCCGAAAATTTACTCTTTGGAGTTTTGACTTTCCCAAAGAAACCTTTCTCTTCTTAAAAATTAGTATATATGTATATGTAATTGCCTAATAGAGGACAAATCCACAAACAAGTTTTCAGATAAAATCGGCGAGGCGCGACAGTTTTCTTCAACGGAGAGCCCAACAATCAAAATCCCACTGCTTATTTCGGGCAAAAAAATTAAGGCCTTTTGCTTAGCCAAATCAGAGTAATCAATTTAGTATGCGCATACTATTTTATTTCTGCTCTGCGCGACATATGGCGAAGTAATTAATTCGTCTCAGCAAGCATAAATATATTTATGTGTCTTTATGAGTCTATTGTTAATTAATTCTAGGGTAGCTATTGGATTACGTAGTCAGATAGTATATTACTAAAGACGTGTTATTTAACTAAATTAGGCCTTGTTTTTGTAAATCAGTATCTTCGAGGAGACGAGCGCAAATCGCAAAACATTGCGCCTAAAAAGGGGATAGTAAGATTGCATGCATATATTTGACGAAATAGGTTAATAAAATTGTCCGAAATATATGCCTTCTTGAAGTGCTGATCTTACTTTTGTGGAGTATGCACCGGATTGTGCCATTAAAGGATACTGGTAAAGTACAAAATTAGATTTCTTCTAGAACTGTGAGGGCAGATTACGTTTTACTTGGCGCTATTTTAGAACAGTTTGAAAAGATCCGATTTAAAACAGTAACCATGAGCGCTTTCTTCACAAACATGCGTTGTTAGAGTGTCGTTAAGTCTTTCCGTCAAAACAGATTCTCGCGCGTATTTTGTCGTGAAATATGACCATGCTAAAAGGCAACGGGACGGGCGATATAGATGACGTGCAAAGGATTTTGTTCGACAACACCCTAAAGTAATATTCAGTTTCAAGCGCTTTCCGTTGCTTCCTAATGCAGTAGGCCTAACGGGCCAAAATATGTCAGTTTCTGGATTTTGCAACCAACCATGGAGACTAGCCCCATTCGGATTCACTACAGTTTCTGTTTACAATTTATCCACAACTGAAAGGGTATTTCGTTGCAGCAGGCAGCGGGAGTCTAACTTTATGCTTTCGCATCGACAATAGCAAAGAACGTTCCTAAAGTCATTTCCAAAACACCGCTATTACCATAAAGATTTGTCAAAATAGTGGCTTACCGTGGCTGCATGTGTGTTCAACCAAATTAAGGATGGGAAATTTCGGATGGTTGTTGACCACCCCGGTACGACTATTTTTTTTATTCTAATAAGAACTTGAAGTATTTGTTTACGCTTAGAGGCGTCGCTCATGCCTTTTAAAAATCAGTTTCAACAAATTAATTACAAGGCTTTTTGTGACTCTCGCAGGAATTCATGCTTTGGTTTCTCCCGCAGATTATAAAATGTTACATACAAACACCAATCTTATTCATGAAAATCAGGAGAACTTATAGAAAAGACACGTAGAAAACGATACATTGATCGTAGTTTAAAAACAAATCCAACCAATAAAACTATAGGTAGGTATTTTAAAAAGTACACCTGTTGATACGTGACAGTGCTTAGTTTCGGATATAGCCTATAGTAACATCAGGCCTACGTAACTGCGTAGAATCTGCTTCACTCTATGATCATCTTCCACCTGGCTCGTTGTCATGCGCAGGTCAATAGGACCAGGTACACCTGGCAGTTCACCACACCGAGAATATACAGGATTCGTCACAAGCGCGCATCCCTAATGAAAATTGTTGGGTCCTGAGCTAGACTTCGTGATGGTTTAGCCTATCGGTGACCTTGTGACTCCTGAAAGGGACACTGTCTTCATAAAAGATATATTAAAATGTATAAATGGACATCGTTCAGATAGCAAAGCTTAGGAATACGTAGTACTGGGCTAAAATGAAGCGTAATAAATGCATCTGTTTGTATATTTTGCATTATCTAGGACCTAATGAAACAGGGCAATACAAAATTTGTGAACTGTTCGACAGCTGTATCTGCATAGTTGCATGCGCATTAAAAATACTGAAGTAATGTTCAGAAGAAAATGCCTTAATCTGAATTCTTCACTGCTCGCTTTCAGAAAACCTTCCGAAGAATTCCCAGCCGAAAACGTAGTAACAAACTGCAATCGGTGTTTAATTGGTGACGGTGTCCACGCTCACGCCTGCGAAAAAATTTATGGAAAAATTTATCTTATTCTCTGTGTTCCACTGGATCAGCAACTCCTAAATGCGCTCCAAAGTGGGCCACCGAGGATCTGTTCGCATACAGCTCAAATGTTAAACTTATTCAAAAATGACCGTGCTCTTTCTACGTGTTCTGCGACTCATGGATTTCTAAAATAGTAGGCATATAAATGAAAAGTTTGGACGCGAAATACGCAAAAAAATGGGAAAATGGATTATTCAAACTGCCAGTATCCAGTATTTGCTACCATTGAATTTAAGGGTCTCACAAAAATATGCACAGTCTTGCAAAGGTGTAGTTAATACTAGCAACAGGACAAGTAACTAATTTCTTTCTCTTTTTATTTAACTTACAGTTTTGTGGCTTGCTGTATTCATAACGCTCGCAACGTTTCGAAGGTAAGAAATGCTCGTGTTAATTTCGCTTGGAATCTAACTAATTGTTTATAGTTTAATGAATTCACGTCTAGATCACTGTATCATATATGTACAGCTATCTTTTCAAACGCTCAGTCGGTATGCTGTATACAAATATTGATGTACAATTAACCGTGGGTTCCTGTTTCCTTTACTTGCAGAAGTCCTTGAAATAATTCAGGAAGGTATATCTTTTCAGTTAGAAATAATATAGAAAATGGGGTATTTTGGTTGTTCATTAAAGGACTCTAAAGGGGATCTTGCTGGCTTTTCCACCTACTATTTTGGAAATGCTTGAAGATTTATAACTGTATCCTGTTCCCTCTCTTGACTTCGGAAAGATGCTTTAGTTCACGTTCCCTAATTTTTGCCGGAATAACCTCTGATACCGTACTTTGAGAAGCTTATTAATTCGTTTTACCTATACACGCCTGCTCCCATTAATTACCTCGAGACTCATATGCGTGGATTTATTTATTGCTTTCTTATTGCTTTTTTCAATTCTATTCTTTTGGATTACTCTTGAGCGACGCACGCCGAAGATAACGCTCAATTCTATTCTATTAGGTTCTCCAGGTGATTCCTCATATTCTAAGTCAGCAAAGTTTGTCGAATTTGACAAAGAATGGCGCTTTCTCTAAATTATTAGTTAGCCCCAGAAAAGAATAATTCGGCGAAAATTCTCGTTTCACGATTGAAAAGTCGTTTTTGGCAAACAATTGTTTTCAGTCATTCATCATCAGGCCATTACATGACATGGGGGATAAGAAATGGTCAGTTGATTGCAGCGTTTATATATATGATTATATATATGATTATATAAACGCTGCAAGTAACTGACCAGTTTTATCCCTCATGTCATGTAATGGCCTGATGATGAATGACTGAAAACAATTGTTTGCCAAAAACGACTTTTCAATCGTGAAACGAGAATTTTCGCCGAATTATTCTTTTCTGGGGCTAACTAATAATTTAGAGAAAGCGCCATTCTTTGATGATGAATGACTGAAAACAATTGTTTGCTAAAAACGATATTTCAAATGAATAATTACTAGTTCAAGTGCTCATAGTACTGCACCTTGTATCAGAAATATTGCAGCATCCTAACGTCAATTTCTACATCTCTTATTCTAATAAATCTGCCATTTGAGAATTGAAATAAATTGGTTTTACAACCATCAGCGCGCAAGCTGTCGAAACAAACTGTTTTAAAATTAGGCTTGCATACTTGCCCTAAGCAAATTACGTATAATAAATAAAAAAAAGCTTGTCATACTGAAGGACTAATTTATTTGGCAGATATTATCACTCTTCGCCATCTTTCTTTCTGCTAACGCCTCTTAGACACCATATACGCGACGCAAAGTCAACTTTGCTTCTGTTTTTACAACGTCGTACACTCCGATCGCCAATCTTACCACTCAGTGTCTTTTTTGCGCAATAGCCTGATGCTGAAAAAATGAGGTGATAATGGTTTTATGACGGCAGTTTATCCTTGTTTTGAGTACAAAACCAGAAGCAGCAATTTACTTGTTCTTGGCATCATTTTTCAATGGGCTATAGATAAAGGTTTTCCTTCTGATATCTTCTGTGTTAGCGACTCTAAAATGAACATGCGAGTGTCTTCGTCGGCTAAACTAACTCCTGCGTTGCCGATTACTTATGTTAATATTCCCCGGTTGTTTATCCTGACCAGGAATCCTAATCGGGAGTCCGCTGTTCTTATTAATATTAGTGTAGTTTACTAATTTTCTAAGTTTTGTTCGCTTTACGCTTCATGTAGGTTATTTGCGTTCGTCTCAGGACCAAATATGCGGTAGGCAATGTCATGATATGTTCGTTGGTGAAGATTTCGAACAGGAGGTCTGGTTCTACTTTCCTGTCTTGTCTCAGTAATGTCCTCAAAAATGTCTTCTAGCTTTACGTTTCGGAAGATTTAAAGTTATACTTCGACAGCTGCAATCTCTCAGGCATAAAACAGTTGGTTCGTTAGTGTTATTATACTTTACCCTTTTGAACTTCTCGCTTCAGTGCAAACAACATGATCTGACTAACTATAACAGAAAATATCGTTTCTGTCGCACTCGCTGGTTGCACGGTATCTAGATCTCTCTATGCTCTTATTTTTATTTCCCGTCTAAATGGCATTACTCTCCTTTACCGAAAAGGATCTTTGCTTTTTAAACTTATCCTTTTGATACTTTTTTAAAATTTATGTTGTCTCATTCCAATCTGGTCGGTATTACAACATAGTGAGATTTTTCAGATGTCAGGCACGTTACTATTGAATTCATTTTCATTCCGATCAACTTCTTATATAATAAATAGGCGTCATTAAGTAATTTTGCTCAAATCGGTTTCACTTCCGTCCAATCGCCAGCAAGGAATTAGCGTATCCACTTTAGTGTTAGGCTTATTTTCGTATAAGAGAATTTAAATGAGAGTCCAGTTCCTAGTAGAAGTGAGTGCATCTCCTTCTCCTATTTTCTTCTGTCTGATATCACATTCCTTTTTATTTTACTAATGGATATTTAGGTGCGTTTATGCTGCAGATTTCCGACCACTAAGTTCAGAAAAACATAGTGTAGGAAGATGCATACTTTGACCTTACACTACTTATCGGAATAAGATTCAAGCATTCATTTAATTTTCATTCAAGCATCAGGTTGATCCAACTGCCAGGTATTGTAAATGAGGTAGTTGTAATTCATTGGATTAAGATTCATGATGTGGAACGGGGTTAATAGGCTTCTTATAGTGAGAAAGGCGACAGCTAAACGCATGAAAATAATATGTGTTGTCGACTCAGATAAGAACCTCAAGTGAAGGAAACTTTCCAACACTTTTAAACAAGATTATTAGTCTGTCTGTTTCCGATTTCATGTTTAGTCTGTTATAACTGTGACCAAAAGCTGCGATATTCCCGTCTAACTAACGCCTCGTGTGAGCCATTTGTGAAAAAATAGAACGTGAAATGAAACATATAAAAAGGGTTTTATTTATCTTTATTTAGTAGCAGGTATCTCAAGATTATTCACTAGGAGGTTTGTAGGTTTTAAAAATGCAAAATCTATGCCATAAACCGTCCTTAGCTTAAGAGTAAAAAATAAACTTCTATTAATTTGTTAAGTCACTTTAGAAATCTACACTGTAAATGTTTCAAATGATGTCGGAAGTTTATTCACTATAAATGGCTCTGGGAAAGAATAACGTTCATTGCGTGAATTTTTGAGTCTGGTTCCGCAGCTCATCGTCAAACAAATAATAGTTTCGCGAAAACAGTTTACTCAAAACTATCACTCACGCAAGATTCTAGGTTGGGTCAGAGCTTAGGGAGATACTCGTCTCCCGCGTTTAATTATGCTTTCAGTGGGGAAAATAACTGTAACCCGCATGCAATTATGTGGTCAGTGGGGGGAGATAGTTGTCACAAACATTTAATAATGCGGTTGGCGGTGGCTGTCTTTCTTCTCATTGAAACAAAACAGTAGCATTTATAAAACAAGGGGACAAATCGAAGCTCGAAAGAGAGTTTTGTTCAAGATCCCTTAAGAATGACTACTTTACTGCATGGCAGAATGTCCGCAACACTTTTGAAGGTATAATGCTTTACAAATAAGCGCGGGCGCCTGCTATTTTATATTTAGCAGGTTTACTAATTGATACTGATGTAGCACTGTTTCTATATTTATCACACTTAATTTATCCTGACAGACTTACTAATGTAGATTTAACTGATACGTAATAGAAGAAACTTGACCATGCCGTGGATATTCAGGAGATTACCCCCTATTACGTCGAATTAGTTCACTGTCCCAAATAATTGACTGGTCCTAATTGATGCAGTCTATATTACCCGTCATCGAGTCTACCCTTCCTTAAGTTGACTAATTTTTCGAGAAGAATTATCGAGCAACTACAGAGTAGCCTTTCGGTACTACTAGAAATGAACATAGGCAAATGCATATAAATCTATCTTACAAGAACTGAGATTTGACAAACTACGTGAATGTTCCTCGTGGTCCTGAAGATGCTCACGCACAGTCTCAAAGTTCAAGGAATAGTACACTCAAAAGGCATATTACAAAACGAATGTTTTAGGAAGTTTGCTTACTGCTACTTCGGAAGGGCTTATTTTCTTTCCAAATAAAGGACGTAGTCGAAACGTCATTAAAAGACTAAGAGGAAGATAAATTTCGACGGCAAACAGTTTTCCAACGCAATGCACGTTTTGGCATACCCGGTTATTTATCAAACCTGGGGCTTTCTTAATGATATTACGTTCGAATAACGCCATCAAAAATGGTTAAATTAACTTAGCATGAATGTAGTCGGCTTTCTCTAAGTAACTTAAGTTTTAATAAACAGAAATCTTCGAATTTATCTAACTCTTGTAGCACATCTCCTGCTAAGTATTTTGTTCCAGAATATCAAAGAGTTAAAAGACAACGAACCATTTACTCTTTCTAGAGTAGAGTACAAACTGAATTTTCCAATGACCATTAAGTTAAACTCTTACTTGTTTCCAGTTACGGACTTCATTAGTTTAAGTGAAGAAAATGTATGCCGAAGGCGTGGTGTATATGTTTTTATACAATTTTTCTGGGTTTTATACGCAATCTTTAAAATGACGAACAATTTTTAATTTCTTTCCTAACCTGTTTTCAAAATACCTATACAAATTTTGCCAGTAAGCCTTTCCAGAATCACAGCATAAATGATTCAAACTTTTAGGAGTATATGGGCAGCTCCTTAGGCGTTCATTTCGCGTAACTTTTATCAGAAATCAACACTTCAATGTTTTATAATGGAAAGGTAAAGTAACGGACTACCTACCTGAACGTAGTTTGCAGTTCCGTTCGCCAGTTTCGGCAAAACGACGTCCGGCGAGTCCAGTGGATGATCCTGCTTATGCTTCTTTGCCTTCGGTCCGTCTGCAGCCTCTGGCTGTGGGAAGGGGATTTCTTCGGGCGATTTGGAGCACAACCAGCTGAAGATGGCCCGCACCTTCTCTTCATCTGTCTTTAGCCCACGTGATGTGATTAGGTGGTAGTAGAGGTCGGCCCAACAGCTTGGTTTGGCTTCACCCAAAGCGAGGACTCGCGCCTTGGAGTCAACCGGCTGCTCTGTGTGCGGCTTTACCAGCAGATTATTCACATCGGCTGCAGAGCTGCAAGAGTTGGAATCTACCGGAGGCTGGTAGTGGCCCTCTTTGTCCTTTTTCGATAGTGGTGCCGCGGTAGGAAGTTTAAAATCGCTCGGTGCTGCAGACAGAAATACTACTGGTTTGCTAACATGCTTTTCTCCGGGTGGCGCTGCTTGTTGTTGGTTGACGACGGTCGCCTCAACGGCATCCCCTATTGGCCACAAAAATTAGATTAAAAGAAATCGTATTAGTCTGTGGGCACTTGTGAGGCAAAACAGGCGATAGCACTAACGTATTCTTCAAAGGATGTTGAAGTATCTGTTGAGGTTGAACTACCTAAAGTGCACCAAACTGCTTACTACGTGGCTACTCACACTTAGTACACTCAGTACAGCTATTTCTTCGGGGCTCGTAGCCCATGGATTCCTCAAACAGTTCGTTTAATCTCTCTGGGGAGTATTTCTTTCAGTCTTCCTTGTTCGTATCGTAAACAGCTAGCATGCGTGAATTTTTTTAACTTTCTATGAGGTTGCAGAGATCGTAACCCATAAAAGACCACGCCTTCTTTATCTATTTTTTTGCTTTGTTGTTTTTTAATTTTTGTTTTGAACAGATAGTTGTCAAGAATTTATTGATAATCCGTTGGCTTCAAATAATCAAACGTGAACTTATTACTTTGTGAAGCTTTTACAGGTTGCACAAAATAAAAGGCTATTAGGCACTAGACAACTGAGAAGAAGTATGTTAAGACTCAACTCGCCGACGACCACAGGTCTTATGTTAAAAATTTAAGCTCGCATTTATTCATAATTTCGTTTACATACAAATCATTTCACCGCAATTCTTAGCCATTGATCAGTGAAAAGCTGACTTTAATGCATTTTTAAAAAAACTGTGAGATGTTTGGCTTGCTATTTAGCGTGCATTTAGCTTAGGGTGCTTGACCCTTATAAGTGGAAGTTTTAGATTCTTTGCGAACCTGCTAATGAATTTGACTTAAAGTCTCAATGAGTGAATTTTCGCTTCGGACATAAAAACGACTTGTGCCTGTTAAGTTTCACCTTACTTCTAGTTTGCCTATCATTCCATCATATTTCGTAATCAGCACCTCAAATTGCCATGAATATTCCACAATGAAGTCTATAACTTTTCGCATTGAAGCCAACGAAGGACTGCAAGGCGAAAGAAAGCTCCATTAAACCGGCAGGACATGAGAAGGTTGTTAATTTGCGTAAGCAGTTGTCCGCGTTTTAAAATCTCCATGTATGTTTATGTTTTATTTTGGAATTTATGTGCACTCGTAATTGATATTATATAAAACCTACATTAGCTTACAGGCAAGACTGCTCGTCACAAGGATGTAAGACAGTCTGGAAATGGTTGCTACCAGCGACATATTTTAAATGCTGAAAAGAAGGATTTGCAACGCATTTACGGATGCGAGGCTTCACAAATCCCATGAGTAATGCGAAGAAAATCTTCGCATATTACACTTCAGAAGATGACAGTCCCTGACCTACTTTATCCTTGGAAGTTAGAATCACTCATTTGTGAATTTGAGCCATTTTGCCTGTCATTTGTGCACAGGTTTGCTAAGAACCTTCCCTTTCGTCCTGTAACTTGCACACGGCTTGGAACAACAGCAGAGTTAGCTAGCCTCGGTCTCCGTAACCCTTCGCATGCATTTCCCATCTTTTGGTTACCTGGCATGGAAGTTTTTTGCAATTTCAAATAGCTTATTTTGCTTAGTGTACATGTAAGAGACAGAGACTAATCCCTTTACTAGAATTTCCTTACCATTCTAATTACGATGATAAATTACTTGCAACTAATTACACCTTACCTCTAAAGCCTTAATAAGCCTTGCCGCTTACAGTCTAAGATGGACTGGTGCGTTTGAAAATTATTCAGTTATGTCACCTAATCCCCTATTTTGCTTTTTGGTGTATACCATTTGAATTGAGCTATTTTGGTTAAAAAGCAGTATCCAGCGCGAGCATAGGAATCCAGTGGTCACTTTCCTTTAATAAAACCCCTAAAGTTATAAAGTATTATAAAGTAGTTAAAAAGACAGACAAGCAAGACTTTTGACGTTCGCGTGTAAATATAAAAGACAACCGGATGAATGGGTTTTGGAACCGAACGGGAGTGCCAGTCTACTATAATTTGTATTCTCGATCGAAACCGGCAAGCCCGTGGTGCAGTGTAAAAAAAGTCATATCTTCAAGGAAAGGCATAACGAGACTTTGTTGAGGTCAGCTCATTTGGTTTTTGGTAAGCAATACCGCTGGATATCGTCGTTTGTTATTTTATGTTTGTCCAATCTCAAGTTAACACTAAACTCTGGACAACAGGAGGATATCGATCTGCTTCTTGATGCAATTGACGAGCAACCACTTTTTACAGAACGCAAAGTAGCTTTGCAATGGTATTGCACATAGGAAGCCATTAAAAATGTCAAAATAGGCTTAATGTTAGTCACCTAATAGTATTGTGATGGCGTAAGTGCTCCGTGGAACAACGCATTTCGCAATCGCGACGTACAATCGGAAAATAGTCCCTGATAACATAAGTACAAGTTGTGTTAATTGTGTGTGAGAATTCTCTTGTAATTCCTGAATTTTTCTGAATCCATGGAAACTGCAGAGACCGAAGGAAAGAAGCAGAATGGAGCGTGTGAACCACAACTGATGACAGGACAAGGTAACCAAATGTACGTAGACATACTCTTGACGTTAAGGGATATGAGTTTTACTACATGCTACACGAATCACCGGGATTGCCCTAAGAGCCATCTTCTCAAAACTAGGGACGATGATTCGGTCCCTTGATTTTCGCAGGTTAATTAGCGTCTCTAGCTGAGCCAACTGGTTTGCAGTCTAGCAGACGTGCTGACTTTACCTAAAAAACTGTCATCAACAATGTCTCAATAGTCAGCAAATCATCCCCAGACATACATCGGCTAATTCTATAAATAATTAAGGGTTAATGCGGACAGACAACGCATTGGCCGCAAAGTCAATCGCCAACAACTAGGCCATTCAATTTGACAGTCAAGCAAAGTATAGGGGACAATGTTGACCGTTAGCTGAGTAGCTGCGACGTTGTCTGAACTCACACTCATCGGCGGGGAATCGCTGACCAAGTTTAGACAGGAATTAGACGGTAGAAATATGTGGACTGTAGTGGCCTCTTATAAATTCTCTATAATGGAGCGTGGAGCGCACTTTTGCAGATATACAATAACCATATGAAGCTTCTTATAAGTAAATTTAAGTTCCATCTGCCTCAATTTGAGGTATGTCAGCTTCGGAGAGCATTATTGTGCTTTTATTTGTAGGTTATCAATTACTGTTTTCAAGATTGCTAACGCATAGCAGTTTCCCAGGTGAAGATAAATGTACACTGAATACAAACATTGATTCCATTTGCGCGTACTTCTAACTGGTAGTATGTTCAGCTAATTGAAGAAGTGTGTAGTACACAGCAGAAAAATAAATTGCTTCAAACGATCTAAGCTTCCTTTGACTTATCTTATTTTCATATTGAGAAGGCGAATTTTCCGATAAAATGATATTTTGCAGTCATGGAATGAATGGCACTTTCAAATTTAATGCTAACTTAGCAGCTCATCTCTGGAAGTGGTATTCGCATAGCATTAGAATAAGTTTAAGTTCTCGGTGATGGCTAGTTCTACAAGGCTATTCTTATTTGTTTACAGAAGAGTCACTGCAGATGACATTCGAAGTGTAACTATACGGATTGCTTAACCGGCGCTAGGCACATACATGAATTACTGTGGACGGAATCCAATATAGTTTATTGCTAGAAATTAAATATTTGACCCCGTTTTATTTACTGTTCACGATAAATAACAATATTTTCTGCTTTCTCGTTATCCTAAACAACTGCGACGGTTTGGATAGGCCACAAGCTTTTAGTCTTAAAACCATGCTAATTTATTGCGCATTGCATTTAGAAATAGCAACATACAGTTCTGCGAGCGCTACAAACAAAATTCCTAAATTTGTAAATATTTGATTATTTCTCCCATACCAGCGGTAACGCATTTACGAAAACTTATAAATAATAAAAGGCAACATTAGTCATATTAAGTACTTAAAAGAATTATACGAAGTTCTAAGTGTTTGTTAAGAAAAATCAAATTTTCTTGATAATTCCCAGCTTGTGGAGACGTCAAAAATGGCTATAAAT